ATATTTTCGGCACAAAGGTTTCGGAGACTCGTTTTTTAAGACAATTGTTGACAAGGACCGTCGACTAGGCACATAGGAAAACTCGCCGATCGATCTATCTGATAAATATAATAATAATATCAAAGCGACTGTTTGTTGCAGAATATTGATTTGCAGGAAGGTTGGTTCTTATTGGTTGAAGTAAAGTGCCTATAAAAAATATGCTTACAAAGAACGGTATGTCTCGCAGTGCTGACTAAGGTATAGTTTTGTTGTTATAGTAGACAGTTTCGAAAACTTTGATAGCTACACTTGATACTCCGTTGCTCCTTTGCGCAAGCATACCCTATTGTTATCAGACTGCCCAAAAAATAGAACGTGTAATAAAACTTCCTAGTGGCGGCGGGGATTTTAGAAATGATGTGATGTATTTCTTGCGCAGGTGAACGGAAAGACACCGTTCTTTTCCTGAAAGAAAACTGTTCATTTTGACTGTTAGTTGGCGCTGCTCGTAAACTATAGTATCGTGTATAACGAAGTAAATATTTATACTCCATGTCGCTGTAAGTCATTTCGCAGTCGACGCCGCAAGCCCATGACGCCAACCAAGTAGCACCAAAAACGCTACGTCACGGAGCTCCTCTTTTAATGCGCATATCAGAACCGGCTACACTAACCAATCGGAGTGCATGCGCGATGAACTTGTGCATTTGAAGTGCATGTTATCGCTTGCGTCCCTTGTATCTTTTGACCGCAACTTGACATCCTATAGCAAAAACTATTTTCAAGAAACAGGTTGAAAATTCGACTTTTTTTTTACATTAACAGTTGGATGGGGATTGAAACGTGACTGGGTGCCACAGAACACAGCAATTTTTCAATGCGCTACAGATATGTTATTGGAGTTCCTGGTTAACAGTTCAACTTACAATAAAATAAAACATTCCATACACTGAGGTATAAAAGTGTGCGTAAAGTTCAAGAATAATACGACAACCTAAAGTATATGATGATCTAGCGAACACTATTTTCTCTTAGCATAATTGAATCATCCCCCTTTCTTAGACATCAACGCCTTGCGCCCATGCACTAAAATAAGAATGTCCTTAAGAATATTTAGATGACAGACATAAAGCATCAATAATCCGTAATTAAGCTTTTGTGCGCGTCTATATTTTTCTTTACTCGGCTCTATAAAGTTTCTTTTCATTGAATCACATAAAACATAGTTCCATTATTGTATCAATTTCGAATTTTCTCGACAAAAAATTAAAATCTTCCTGAGGACTGTAACTGTCAAGTATCATTGAGCACAACTCGAAATTTAATGCTTTCTTCTAAACTTTTTTTTTTCCGGAATGACACAACTTGTTGGCAATTCTCCTAAAGTCACTAGATCGTGGTAAACAAGCACGAAGGTGTTCATATTGTCGTCATCTTGGTCCACTATATAGCCGCTTTCTTCTTGAGCTCTCTATCTTTAGTTCTGGGGAGCCCATTCAAATACGCATGAGAGGTTGTTTTATAAAGGCATTTCTGGAATACCGAGATTTTGTTTCCATACTGGCAAAATAACCGCATAATCACGCCACCAGTACATGCGGTTTGCAGCATATAAGAATACTTTTCCTGTAGTGAAATGAGCACGAAAACAAAATAATAGTGAAAGATCTGTGGGCATAAACCAGATTATTTCATTAATTGCATATACACTACAGAGGACGCTTACATTTACGTAAGCGGTTTCGGTACTATGACAAGCCATCAGAACCTTGGCGCCCCTTGTTCAGAATGATCCTTTCGAAGCTTCAATAGGACCCGCTGCCGATTGCCATGGCGACGTATACCGTTAAGGCAATCAGCTTGAGACGTTTTGGTCGTCCGTATGTCGCTACCTATTTGCGTCCTGCCGGTAGGCGGGGAAGGCAATTGCGCTTTTTTCACGGGATCCAGTGACTAAACTTCCCAAGCTAGAACTTTCCACCATACGATTATAACAGGTGACATGATAAGAATGCTGCATAATCTTGAGTGCTCACAAAGGCATGGGCGTGAGCGCTCCAAGGCAAGCACCCTGAGTGCAGTATGCAATACACTTTGGATACTTCGAGCAGCCTAAAAATGGGGTACATACGTACTTAGCATCGTCCAAGATATCTTCATTTAGGAGCAGCAAGTTTACAAACAACAATAACCGCATGCACATGTTACACATGCAGAGAAAAGCAGTAGAGAGGTAATTAATCACGCATAAGGGAGGAATCATAGCCCTGATCATTTCTCCACCGCCTCTGGTACTCGACAGTTCAAAAATATTCATTTGCAGCTGAACCACCTTCATGATTACGAAGGATACACGTTAATTGCTTTGGTATCCTCAATATTTCGTTTAATGCGTAATATATATATACGTTGAACGAATGTCTACGTTCAAGGAATACTGTAGCTAAACCAGAAATGTTACCCCGCATTACCGTCGCATTCTTTTTTGAACTTTCATAAATAAAGTGAATTTACTGCAACAGCACCTTATTTTACAATGAAGTTTGTATTAGGTCCAAATAAGGGTGCTGAAAGTATAAGTACACGTGTGTACAACTCAATGAAGCAGAATTTTAGCTTTTTCTAGGTGTAAAAGAGTTGTAGTGTATGGCTTTCGAAAGTGTCGTATGCGCGAGTTGTCGTGCGTACGAAACGGTTCACTGTGCAAGGTTAACTTCATCTGCACACTGTCGAAAATTGTGAGTTAAATAGAACTTAAATGGTCGGTTTAAGAAAATGAGAACAGGAAGCGCAGCATAATCGGTATGTTGGAAGCAGCGCCACTTTGCATTCCAAGAATAGAATAGATTAAACTAAAGCAGAAATTTCCGGATTTAGCATTCTCTTTCCTCTGCAGAGGTAAATGGAATGAGGAGACTTTATTACTTTGAAATATTTTTGCCTGCTCGATTTTCTTTTGAACCTAGTTTTGGAAGAATTACCTGGTGTTTGCTGTTGCGGCGCTGCTGCCAGCCAGCACAGAGATGACACCATGGTAATATTGACACATGAGACATGAAGCGTGGGACCGTTCTCGGACACTAAGACACGCAAGCATTCTCCAGACCTCACTTTTTTGCCTACCATAACAAGCTTAAATTACGAAACCGCATTCGCCGAGTAAACTGAGTTGGTTTTGAGGCAAATTTGACGTACACTGCTACTCTCAAGAAAAGATGCCGACGACGCGACACTAACCCTAAGTGCCTTTCGTGCAATCACAGAACACACTGCTTCCGCAATCTGTAGGTCACGGTGATCGTCATGAAAGCAGGTTGACACCTTTATATTGTTTTCATGGACACATATATATTCTCGTGTGCCTCTTTTTAGTGACTATGATTGCTAATATTAATAAATAATAACACTAATACATTCAATTTATAAGCCACACGCATTTACCTGAGGCATTAATTGATCAATAAACCCTGCAAGCATTTAGGCTTGTAGAGCTAAAAAAACATCGCCAATGATTATGTCCGTGCTACGCTCGACGATTTCCTAAACTTTAGGGACCATCAATTCTTCGGCCTCCCTCCGCGTGTCTCTACAAAACTTCAAACATGTTTTCATTATTTTTTAATTTAAATCTAAATGAGGCAACAGAGGGCCAATCACGATGAAAGGTAGCTAGAAACATCAGTTCATTTATAAAACCCGCTTCATTAGATGCCTTTAATTCTATAGTACGTTTGTAATGCAGATGCGCGAAAAACAGTAAAGTCTAATAGGCTGCTAAGTATTATTTATTTGAAAATGAAGAAAATCCCTCGCACACTTCTTCAAATACCTCCTTAGTTTCAAACTTTGAACAGACATTTTATTGTACTTCAATTATCTGTTATCAATTAGGAAACGCCATTACTTGAAGCATTAAAAAATATGTGGGTTTGAAATTTTCGTGGATATAAAAAGGGCCAACAACTACATCTGTAACAAATTTAAAAGTCTAGTTTATATTACCAAAAAGATACTCGGCTAAAAATATATCGCTTTTTAGCAATATTGGGGGGAGGTGTGCAGTACGAAGTGAATCAAACTTGTGAAAAGCCCCCTCCACATCTTCTTTCATTTCCTTCTTAACGAAAAATCATAATCAAATTGTTGTTTGCTCTGATGATCCCTTCAAGAAATGGAAACTGGCGCATCAAAGTTCCATTTCCTCTGATACGACATAAATTATATTACAGGAAAGAGGTTTACATTACTTTTAAAATAAAACCACTCCTTCAAGAAATGCATTCAGAATGATAATGCGAAGATGCAAAAAGCAATAGGGACGTGGCCTTAAATCAACTTTGTCATGGTCTTATTATGGTGCAAATTCAACGTCAAGCATCAAACAAAACAAAACAAAAAACCGGAAACCAGAACAAACATCGCGAAACGCCCCCTTTTTCTGGAGAATTCATGTGATATATTCTCACCATGAAGAGTTGTGAATGGCATGAATGATACACAATATTTAAGTACACAAATAATTGGATTTATCTGACAGTTTTGAGACTGTGCATGCTTTCACTTAAAAAAGTGATAATGTATATTTTAAATTTTAAAAAAAGAATTTTGATAGAAGATATATTTGATAAAGTACGTTACAAATAATATGCATAAGGAAAAATCGAGAAAACCCGAGGTAAATGAAATGATATATTTGTCTGAAAACCAAATTATGCTTTTATACCCTGACTAACGTTATGACAGAAAGGAGGCTAATATATCTAGAAAGTTATATTTAAAAAAAATGACGAAGCAGACCCAAAATGTACTAATCGATTGGAAGACTAGAGGTTTCTAAACTGTGATGTTCATTGTTGTTGTTTTTTTTAACACCCTTTTTCCTGAAATAATTGACACTCGTTTTGTGTTTAAAACAGTAGAGGCAGGGTGTGCAGTTGGTGCTGCGCCAATTTTTTATTAGTTAAATTTTTGTGAGACAGTCCGCCGTGACAATCACAGTCTTGTACTTGGTTCCTCAGGTGGTGACTTCTGTCCTCGGGTCTGGGACGGCATCCTATGCTGGGAGAGTGCACCGGCCAACACGACCGCACGCGCGCCATGTCCGGAATACCTCGACGGTTTCGACACCACCCGTAAGTAGCTGGTACTGAAAGCATTCCTGCGCGTAGGCCGTCGGTTTTGAATTCGAGAGAAGCTGATTCTTTCATCCGATAAAATTCGCATGTTATCCTTTCAGACTTCCCCAACACTTTCAAAACTTACACTGCTTGACAATGTTAGCACCATCAAGAGATGAGTACTTTTCTGGATTTCTGGTTTCTGTACGCAACTTTCTGGGTGCAGAAGGTTGCTTCGTATGCCATTCGATCCACCGAGTGCCCGCTCCCCTTGGCAAGGAGCAGTGAAAACCTCTTACCTGCTTTTCTGAGTATTCGGCGAAGTAACTACGATTTTTCAGTTCAAATTTTCTCTTTCCACTAATCCCACTGAAGACAATAAAGCAGCGTATGCAGCCGTCCCTGTTTATGGTGTGGTTCTGCCTCAACATGTCTGTAAACGGAACACAAAAGCTTCTTGTTTTCCTTTCACAGATCCCCTTCCCCCTTTCACCACAGACGCCACCAACCGTCTGCCTTTGCGTTGGGATAGTTAGAAAATCAAATTGGCTTAGAAAAGCGGGATGAATCACGTTTGTCTTTTAAGACTTAAACTAGGTGGCCCAAGCTACCGCCCGTTCCAAAGAGTGTAGCCATTAACATCCAACATCCCTCCGTCCATCCACATGAACAATGTCATTACGATGCAGAAGGGAAAAAAATATCAGATGGGTTCTAGCGTTCGTTGAAATACGTTTGTTGCTGGTGAAGTGTGCGTGCCCTTGCAAAGAAGAGAAAAATCGACCAGGACACCAGGACAGTCGGAAGGTCTATCATGAGTGGACATACAGGCACTTCTTCATTGAGAATGCATCGAGAAGGCATCAAAGTGCATGTGCCTTGTGTGTCGCGAGCCCCTCGCCGTTCCTGAAGAATACAACGGCCGTCGCCACTGCTACCGCAGTCCGCTGCCAAAATGTGAAACATGTCACACAAATTTTTTTTAGTTGTGCACCCGAGATTTACAGGCAGAAAAAAAAAGAAAGCAACCAGATTCTATGATGGCTTCTTCGCGATAACATTGTCCATCGCCGTATTTGGGAATAGTAGAGGTCGGATCATAATTGCATACAATGTTATACTTTTTGCAGAAAAAAAAAGTAAGTCGGCAATCCAGTAAAGGTGAGCGATACAAAAAATTGTACTCCCTTCAATCTCCTGTGAGCAAAATACATGCTTGGAGGCCTCACGTGGTGAAGTCTCGTTGTCATGATAAGGCAGGTCCCGCCGCTCTCACGTGCTCCCCGTACTCAAACGCTTCGTTTATGACATTTCTTAGAATGGATGCTTGGGCGAGTTGGATATTCATATTGTCGGAGAAGCGCAAAAGTAAACTCCCTCAGGCTGAAAATGCACGCACACCAGAAAAACGGTTACTCACGTCGCGCTGACTTACAACTCAAATTGTATTTTCGTCTTCTTTCTTTTTTCTTTTACCCGTATTAAACTTCTTCGTTCTCTTTTGTACAAACAAATATCAATGTCTATCGCACATTACCTTCGAGAGTCAAGATATAACAGTTCTTTTTCATAAGCGTTATGGATGGACTGCGGCAAACAGTACATAGAACAAACTGGAAGATGTATAAATGACAGATTAAGGGAACATAAGTACAACGCCTGATTAGCGAACTCAGGACTTTTCTCTATATTTAGCGGAAAAAATTTTCAGCTAAATTTAGCGGGAAAAATTTTCTGCTACATGTAGCGGGAAACTTTTTTCGCTAAGATTGGCGGCGAATTTTTCCCGCTAAATTTAGCGGAGAAACTTAACTCGCTAACTTTTGCGGGGAAACTTTACCCGCGATATTTAGAGGGAAGATGTTCACACTAATTTTAGCGGAGATATTAACGTCACTTGACTTAAACACGAATTCAGTTTCCCCGCTAAATTTCGCGGGAACATTTTCGCTAAATTTTCCCGCTAGATTCACCGGGAAAATTTTCGCTAAATTTTCCCGCTAGATTCAGCGGGAAAATTTAGCGGGAATATTTCCCCCCTAAATTTAGCGGGAAAATTTTCGCTACATTTGGCGGGAAGTTTTGCTTAAATTTGCCGCCGAATGGGAAGTAGCAGGAGAGGAGGAGGGGAGGGTACGGAGGAGCATACCCTCACCTCCGTACCCTACCCGCCTCCTCCTCAAGAACTGCGCTCTAATTCGGCATTACAGAGAATTGTAAACGTCTTTCGTGCCTTGTTTACACAAAAAAAACAGCGAAATTGCTCTGATTTCATTTAATGTTAAAACGAAAAAAGCGCACACCATATTTCCAAAACAGTAAAATTCGAAAATGCACAACCATAGGTATAGAGTATATGGGCTGCATAAAAAATATAACTTGTTCACCTGAGTAAGTAAAATAAATATTTCCGAAGCAAAACGCGAACAGGAAACATTTTCGCTTTAAACATGAACCCCTTCCACTATCCTTTATCCTTCAAGAATTTGCTTCGTGCAGAATGTCCACTGTGGCCTACAAAAGGTTAGTACTTCATAGACACTGATTGCCTAAGAAGCGCAGTGTGGGGTAATTCTCGGAAATAGAATTACCGCTCAAATGCCAATCAGAGTGACTCATTGCACAATAAGAACGTCAACTAAGAAATGATATAATGAGCGTTAACATAATAATCGAAGCACTGTCTTCCTTAAGCTGTCAGTGAGCATTGTCGGCCATGCTGACAGCAGTATTGAAGACAAGGAGATTCATAAATGCTAATTTGTTAAAGTCAAACTAAGCATAACTTAATATTTCTTCTTAATAGACTGAGAGCCTTTTTTCATAAACGTTGACGTAACTTGTCGATATGTGCTTATATACTGTGAAATGTATGGGGGTCATTCCTTGTCAAACGTCCCATACGTTGCGCTCGAGCCTTTCCGATTTTTAAAAAATCTTCATGGTCTTTAGCCGCGATGCCCGTAGCCATGCCCTGAAATATTTTTGGCGAAAAAGTTTTTTGATGACATGAGCGCGGTTTGAACTTTTAAAATGACCGCATCATGAAACTAGGCATCACTCAATAATTGATGAAAAATCAGCTTTTTAGTGAAACAACTAAAAGTATTTTTTTGTGAAATTTGCACGGCTTTGGACTTACAATGTGGTTGGGCTTGTGAAGTTATGATTAATTTAGATATTTGTTAAAAATACTAAATTTTTCTGAAAATTTTAACATCTTTGTTATTTTATTAAAAAAATGTCTAATTGCTTCCGGGAGTTAGTATAACTTTTTACCGGCTGCGCTGCAGGTATATAATCAATAAAAAAAAATGTTTAAAACGGCTAAAATAAACATCTGGAACTAAAGAAAAATCCTGAAGTTGCAAAAAAGTGCGTTTTGACGCATAAGCAGCCGTTTATTTCACCCTGAGGTAGTTTAAGTAAAATACAAAATATTTTAGGTTTGGAAGAACGATCGATAGTCCTTTCATTCTGAAAGTTTAATCGAAGTAATTTTTGTTTAAAGCGCGAAGACAATATTTGAAGTTCAACTCTCCCACCACAACCCACGTCACTTAAAGCGTGCGACGGTCTCACGGTGTGCGCACGCAGGTAGAAAGCAGGACCTCGAGTTGTCGGGTACATCTTGGTGGGAAGAGGTTTTTTCTAGTCTTGTTGCTTTATGGCTTTATGGCAAAAACTGTTTTCTCGCTTTGAACAAAAATTACTGTGATTAAACTTTATACAAACAAAGTTTATCGATTGTTCTTGCAAACCCACCATATTTTGTATTTTTACTTGGATCACTCCAGGGTTAAATAAACGGTTGTTTATGTGTCAAAACGCACTTTTTCTGCAAATTCAAGATTTTTCTCTACTGCGTGATATTTAATTGAGCGGTTTTAAACATTTTTTTATCAATTGTATACCTGCAGGGCAGTCGATGAAAAGTTATATTAAGTGCCGGGAACAGTTAGATATATTAATAAAATAACAAAGATGCCAAAATCTTCAAATTGTTTTAGTTTTTTTTTTAAATATTGACATTTTACAAAGCTTTACAAGCCCAACCACACTGTAAGCCGAAAGCCGTGCAAATTTAAGAAAAAGTTGTTAGTTGTTTCACTAAAAAGCTGATTTTTTATCAATTATTGAGTGATGCCAAGCTTCACGCTGTTTTCAAAAGTTCAAACCGCGCTCACGTCACCCAAAAAAAAATTTCGCCAAAAATATTTCAGGGCCTGACTACGGACATTACGGCAAAAGCCCATGAATTTTCTTTAGAAATCGAAAGGGGTCGAGCGCAACGTTTGGGTTTGAAGAAAAGACCGATCTGTTTACGTCTTCGTAGTTCCTGGTCTTTGCAGAAGTTTGTTACATGAGGAGACACTGTTATAAACTTAGCGTTTGTTTTTCTTTTACGTCTCTGGACTTCAAAACCAAAGGGCTATGTAATTTCAGACGATTTGTGCATATTAAGGTTACTTAAATATTTAAGCCTATTATTAATTATATACGACATAAACGTCGTGTAAAAGATAGTTTTCCAGAAGCAGTATTGTTATTTCTTTAAGTGTTATATATCTGGCGTTTGCTTAGGATCTGTTTATAAAATCAAAAACAACACTTCGCTCATCCCGCGCATTACGTCGATAACAATAATAATCCCCTTCTCCAGGGATTACACTGTTATTCTTGTCCATTTCATTTGTTTCATACTGCCCCTTTGTTCGATCAAACACAAACACAGTTCGACCATACACAGGAAATTCTATCGGCGTAACTTCTCTACTTAATTATTAAACGCGCTTCTGGACACTATATTTTACATTACCATGTTAAAAAAACTAAACAAACTACAGTGGATGAATTCTTATTAAACGTAGAACGTTATCTCGGTATCCATGCATGCACTCTTAACTTCAAAACACTTGTTGAACTTTTTCGTTATATCTTCCGCTTTTGCTAGTACTTAAACGTCGTTTATCGGTACAGCTGAGTTTGTTTTTTGCCTCGTCGTCTTTTGTTTT